GGCTATATGTGCCACAACCTGGGTGAATCTCAAAAAAACCTTGTTGAGCAAGAAGCCTCCAAAGACCCAGAGGAAAACATCTGATTTACCGAAGTTCAGGAACAGACGAACAACTCCACGTTGACAGAGGTGAGAGCGGCGACCTTGGGGGTGAGGGCGACACTGGCTGCAAAGGAGCCCTCCTGGGGGGACCTGGTGCGTGTGCACACGCGGGTGCCTGGGAAGGCCAGGCCGGGGGAGTGTTCTTCCAGAATGTTCTATTTGGTCACTTGTGTCAGAAGAGGAGACGTCATCCCTAGAGGGAACTGGGGACCAGAGCAGGGCCCACCGGCAACAACACCCCTTGCTCTCGCTGGATGGACAATTCTAGGGCATCTCGGCTTTGATGGGGGGCGCAGGGGGCAGTAGTTTAAGCTGGGAAGAGTTGGGATGAGCTCCCATTCCCGTTCTGCAGAGGTCTCTGGTCCTACCTCAGGCCACTGGAAGTGCAAATGCTGGGAAGTATCTAACACTGATGTCACGTGCTGCTCCACACTGGGCACCAGGCTCTTCACTTGTGATACCCACCCCTCCTTAGGTTTCTAAATTAATTAAACAAGGAGGCCACTAGGCTGAAGGGGGCCAGTGCATGGCGTCTATGCAAACAAACCCAAACCCAAGCCTGTAACACTTCAAGGTTACCAAGTGGAAACCCAATCACACAAAGCTAATCACAGCCAACCACACACGGCCAACCACACACGGCCAACCACACACAGCCAGCCAGGCTTTAAGCCAGTTAACAATCCCCTTTGCTTTGCTTCTGCACCTCCTCTGTCTCCACTTTCTCCAGCTCCCGTGGGCGGAGCACTCCCAAGCACTTCCGGTTTATCACGACCATATTCCAATCAATTTTTGTTCAAATTTAATCTTAAAATTTGTAATATGCCTCGGTTTATCTTTCAGTGGTTCCCAGTGAAGGCAGGACTCAGGGAGCCGACCTCCCCACTCTAAGGGCCTGGTCGGCTCCTCCACTCATCAGAACCGGGAGTGGGGGGTTGTTCTGGAATATTCCATCTTAAACGGCAAACGTACTGTTGGCATTTGTGCAGGATGGAAGGATACCCACTGGATGTGAAATTGAAAAATTGCATGACACAGATCACTTCCACTTCTTATTTTAATATTGCAAGAAGTATATATAATCACACTATTTTTTTTATTTTTTACTGTAATTTTCTTTTTTTTTTAATCACACTATTTTTAAACATCTGTGCTGCACTTGCATTTTTTTGTAAGTCTGTAAATAGACGTCTCCCGCAGGCAGAGGTGCTTCCAGACCCGGAGAGAGTCTCACTGCTGATGGGGGCCCGGGCCTCAGTGTGAGCTCCGGCGTCCAGGAGAAGGGGCCTCGGGAGGGTGGGGGACGCCTGCAGCAGCCAGGCCCTGACAGCACAGGTGGCGGGGGGTGGGGGGCTCAGTCACACCAGTGTTTCCCTTATAAAAGTAAAATACGCAGATGTTGAAACATCCAGAGCATCCATAAAGCTATAAAGTGAAGAGCTAACGTTTCCTGTGCCCCCCTCCTGCAAGCCCCACTCTCCAAAGGAAATGCATTTTTCCCAGTTTCAGTCCTCATTTGGTCCACTGCACGGACAATAGTAATTTTATGGGTCTAGTTCTTGCTTTGTCAGCCTGAGACAATTTCCCTTGACTTCCTGGCATAAAAGATGAGCAGTTCAGTCCATTTTCACCACCGCCACCTACATCCCTGCCCTGCTCCTCCCTGCATTGGTTTTTCTCAGCTACGTTAATATTTTTAGTTATTCGGGTCGTTACCTTTGTGACCTGAAAATGAAAGCACTTAAGGCTGTATTTCTGGAAGCATCGCCTTTAGCTGCTGTCCATGGACTGTCTACTGGGTTAGACGAAAAATTAGCATACCCCTGGGAACCGCTGTTCAGTGAGTACGAAGTTTCAGTTGCACGTATATATTTGTTTCAGACATGTATGTGCTCATATATCTGAGTAAGTTTAGAGGTCTGCCACACCACACTGTGCCTGGTTAATAATACTGTACTGTGCACTTAAAAATTGCTGAGGATAGATCTCATGATTGGTGTTCTTACTACAATAAAAATAAATAATTTAAATGTTAAATTGCAAAAAAAACAAAAGCCAAAGACAAGACATTAGTATGCCTCCCCCTGGGCCTCCCACATAACTTCTCACAGATTTGACCACAGGTGGATTCTAAAAGGAGAGACGGCTGCACATTTGACACATTGTGATTATACAAATATTATTCGCGGTGGAGCCAAGCGATGAGGGACCATGAGGACCGACGTGGAATTCTGCCGCTAACTAAACCCCGCACTTAATGAGGAATGTTCAGATGTCAGGGCAGTATTGATTGCTTTTTTCCGATACCCTATTAGTCTCTCCCCAGTTATGCGTATTTCGTTTTGCTTTAGGTTTGGATCTTGAGTTTCTGTACGGCTTTTTAGGGTGAGCACATAAGGATGACAAGAGTAACAGTCAGGCAGCACGCATCCTTTAGACATGAGTGCGTTCCTTCCCCACGACACCCCTGTGAGGCAGGGCTGTAGTTCACCCCATTTGGCAAATGAGTTAACTGAGGCACAGGGAGGTCAAGTCACGCGCTCAAGGTCACACCGTTTGCAAGCACCAGAATGAGCATCTGTGCACAGGCAACATGGCACTGTCGATGAAAAATACTGCCAGCCATGTCAGCTAACAAAGGACACCGCGGCCATCAAGTCATCGGCCACTGCTGCCACCCCCGAGAGAGAGCGAAGGGAGCTCAGGATGCAGATGAGCAGGCAGCCCGGCCTCTGCGGCCACCCCCACGGTGCCCCCGAGTGGACTGAGGAGGGGAAAGCACAGGGCACTGGCCCTGGAGAGCTGAGGTGCCGATCACAGGAGTGATTTCAATGAGCCCACACATAGAAAAGCACTAAATTCCTTAACTCGAGATTTCTGGTTTTCTTTAGTTAACAGTCATCTTTCGATGTTCCAGCCACCTGGTCTTTGCTACAGAAGAACTCCTGTACAGCCTGGCTTCTCCCCTGCCTGGGTGGGGATCTGAGAGGCTGCCTCCCAGGCTCGAGTCCTCAGGAAGTCCACTGAATAAAACTTAACCCTCAAGTTACAGGTTGAGCGTTTTACTTCCGTTCACAGCACCAAGGGAAGGCACTTCGCTGCTGTGATCTGCTGCCTCCCGAGAGCTCCGGGCTTCCGAATGACCTGCCTTGTGGCATGGGGTCCAGTTTCCTGTGGCAGCTGCTCCTCACGGCAGGGCTGGGACTCGAGGGCAGTGCCTGGGGTGCAAGATTCCAGGAGACACTGCCTCCAGGGTCCCCGCCTCGCAGAGGCCTCCACGTCCTTGCTCCTTGAAGCCACCGTTTGCAGGGGCCTGTGTCCACAAATGACCACGAAAGCACCACGAGTGTTGGTTTTGGGGTGATAAGTAAATTTTAGTGGGCAGGTGGGTTCACAGATGCAGAATCTGTGACTATCAAGAGAGGACTGCACTTTGATACTTTAGCAGCCGCTGAGGACGTGCTGATGGGGCCAGCTGGGCACCGGCCCTTGCTGGAATGAGAGCGCAGGAGCCTTGTCTGTGTTCCATGTTGTGGCTCTTCCAGCAGCCACGGAGCCGGGAGTGACATGAGCTGGTTGAGTGCATGGAGGGGGAGTGACTGAGCCCGACAGAGGTGGGGGGCAAGGAGACAGCACCCAACCCCATGGGGCCATCACCCTGGGCCCTGGAGGGACAGCTGCCCTTAGATGGCGGCTCTCAAACTTGAGCTGCAACCCGGGAGGACACACACTGCAGGGACCCACCAGGAACGTCTGATCCTGCAGGTCCAGGGTGGGCGGGGAGCTGGCATCTTTAAGAAGGACCCAGGGGATGCGATGCTCAGTGGGGACCCAGGAGATCTCTGCCGTGGAACAGGACTCACAGCCTTTCACCCTTTCATAGGTGCAG